GCTCCTTGTCAGGATAAGGATTTAAACACCTGATGAGTCACCACTACTGAAAGTGCATTCCTGTATTTCCCCAAAGACCGAGCCCTCTGTGAAAAGGACCAGTCAAACACATGCCAAAAGCATGGTCCAAGCATGTGTGTGCATTATAATACAATACTTTTTTTTTTTTTATTTTAAAGAAGATGGACATAACAAACCCAACAGATTTCTTTCTGCATTTTTGATGGGTTATTGCTGTGCACAATCTACCTTGAGATAAACATCACAGCAAAGATAGCTTACTTTATCTTCACTGCAGTGTAACATAATGATGACTTTAACTGATAATGCTCTTTGCAGTGGGAAAAAAGGATTTTCCCCAGCAAGGTATTTATTATCCCAAATTATAGGATATATTTCTGGTGCAATTTTACTGCTTTAATTTTCTCATTTTCTCCTTGTAGTCACTTTCTCTGGGAGAAAACACCTGCCTGTGCTGCCCGAAAGGGAGCACTGTAATTGAAAAAGGGGCAGCGTCAGCCCCTTGATGATTAAAGTTAACCTTTTCCCAGCACAACCACACCAGCATGGACGTTTATGTGGAGGAGATGGATTTGCCAACCTCTTGGGCTGAAGTTTAATCTTGGATATTTTTGCTTTTCTGTACTTTTGCCAGAAACAGCAAATGCTCACAGGACTGGATCTATGCTAGGTTGCAGTCCTGCGGTTGGAATGAAAGTCTGAGCCTTGGGTTTAAGCTCGGAGCCGGTTTTCAGAGCTGCAGCTATGGGAGAAGCCAGACCCAGTCTCCTGCGAAGCACAGAAATACAGGCTGAATATGACGAGTTGATTTAATTCCTTATCAATTCGTTATATATTAAATCATGCCAGGAGCGAGGAGTGGAGGACAATGCAACACCTGCTTTGAAGGACCATCTGATGCCCAGGGAGAGCACAGCACCTGAGCGCGGTTGGGGAAGGCAGAACCCCCATCTCATCCAGAGACAAAGTGCAGTATGTTGTGATGCTAATGGCCACATTTTATCTCAGCAGAAAAAAAATGTTGTTGCTAAAATCGGAGTATTCAGGCAATTTGGGACACGGAGTGTTAACATAAAAACTCACTTTAAGAAATGCTATAGTACTGACAGCAAGCATCTCAAGCAATGATGCACATCAACTGTACCTAGAACTTTTCAAATGAAATTTAACACAAACTGCAGCCGTTGGGAGACACACGCAGGGTCTGGCCAGGCATGAGATTTGGTCCCCGCCCCAGGAGGAGGCATGGAGGAGCAGCCACCCGCTTTCCTTGCAGGTAGCTCCAGGAAACACTGGGCACCTTGGAAAATATTAGCTAAGAAAACATGCTTGGGGCTGACATCTGGCTCTGGATGCAGTGCCTAAGTATCAGTATCTTTCATGACTGCTTCATGGCAGGGCAAAATGAAATTCATCTTTTTTGTCGCACAATAATGAAACTCAATTTCTACAGGACTCTGGGGGAGAGGGGCCATCCATTAAATAAAAACCTATTGACTACAGTACAAAACCACCATCAGAATCTCCTGTCAGGCTTTAGCTACCTGGCACACCAGGGTTAAATGCCAAAGTACCTTTAAATATCCTAAACTTGTATTTGTACAGAGTAGTCACTGACCACCTCACATGTTTAGAGATGCTATAAATCAACTCAATAGGATTAACATCCAGTAAAACTTCAGTGGGAAAAAAAATTCCTGCACAAAATTAACCCAGCCTTAACTAGTCAAGAATGCCACTTTTTAAACTAAGGGATTTAAAGATTATGAGAGGATTTGTACCCATCTGTCACTTTTGGCCTGCTTTCATTTTATCAAGCTTCCTTAGTCAAACTTCACTAAAAATCTTGTCAACATTTGACTATTTTTAGATGAACTCATTTTATTTGGTAGCTCTGATATACTGATTTCCTAAAGGGAAAGATTTACAAAAGGAGGCATTAGAATGTTGAGTCCATTGAAGCTGCATGTTATTAATATTGCATGCAGCTAGAAAGGCCAAATTAACATGCAAAATTGTACCAGAAACCCCAAGCCATTTTAGTGCAGTTCTGTTTTATTCTGGCAAATGGATGCAGCCGAATTCCGCTCGCTTTGTGAGACAACCCTGGCACGGGGAGAGTTAGCTGGGGGTGAGCACTCTCTGAACCCTCAGAAAACAGCCCTTCCAAGAGGGATGGGAAAGGTTTCCTGGATGGAAAAGCTCTGCTCCCCTGCTGTGGAGGTGCTCCCCTACATGCAGCGCCCTGCTACAGTCAGCTACTGACCCCTTCTATCACGTACCTTAAACATTTAACTTTCTAGTTTCGCTGGCTGACACGCAGCAGAACTGCAACTGCTAATGATTACAGAAATTAAACCCTTGACAGTGCTCTCCAGGATGGGTTTTGTTGATGTCTCACGTAGTCCCCTGCCAGACAAAGTTGTATTTTCCCCTTACATCACAATTGCTTTTATTTTCACCATTTTGATTTTTAAAGATTGCTTTCTTCATTTTACATGTACCACCAGCAGCTTGATCTTCTCATTAAATTGACTTCGGTATGGAAAAACACTAATAAAAGAAAAATGTCACCAACACAACTGCTGGAGCTCTGAATAGCTGGGGAGCTTGGGATCACAAACAGCTGCTGCAATTATATTTAACTGCCCATTTTCTGTGCTTTGCTCACAATCAGATCTTACTTCAAGAGCAGGTAGCACCATTTCTGCTTTTGTAGTAAACAAGTGACATGATTAGAATGACGAGCGGGCTCCATCTCCGTGTTTTAATCTCTAGAGGTGTCTCTACCTGACTGGGAAGCTGAAATTCTTTATTTTTATTTACAGCACACTGTGCTCTCCCTCCTTTCTGAATGTGTGTATATGCTGGGACTTTTCTAAACTAGTTATTTATGTAGCTTCTCATTTCCACATGATTGTTTTATTCCATGATATAAATCCCCAAATGTGTGTTTCAAGCAGTTTTAATCTTTATTTTCTCTGCACAAACACTCAGTTTTCAATAAAGGAAAATGCTTGCTTTTTCTTCTGACAGGAGTCAGCAATTTCCTCCACTGCATTTTTTCCTTCCTAACAAACTTCTATCAATCAAAATGACTGGGGAGATGAAGTGACCAAGCCAGGGAAAAGATTTACATGACTCATTGGACTGGCAAATTCTGCGTTAAAAAACACAAATAGAAGCAACAGAAAGCAACAACTTTCAAAGCTTATTTTTTATGCATCATTAAAATCAGGCCATATGTGATTAAACAAATATCCCGCGCCCTCATTTTAACTCTGCTGTCCTTTGAGAACTCATATGACTCCTTAAGTACGTGACGTGTAGTCTGCAAATGGCACTGGATGGGGCCTTAAGAGAATCAGGCTTATTTACTGGGTGAGCGTGTGAATATAATTGATAAGTAATACAGCATTGTAATTACTTGAAGTTGCTAAAGCTCACAGCCCTGTAAGTACCCAGAATGTGCAGTCTGCAAATGGCATTTTAAGTTGCTCAAGCGCCTTCGAGATCAAAGTAGCTTAAGAGAATCATATTGAGTGGGAGTCTGAGTAGGAGTCTGAACAAAGTTGGTAAGTAGTCTGAGCATTTTAAGTACTCCAGGGCACTGCAGCACGAGTACGAAATAACACCAGCTTGTCAGTGCTTGGTTTTCCAGAGCTGGGCTAGTGATGAGAAACTCAGAAGACGGTGATTTTAGCAGAGTGCCATCTAACCAGGTCCAACCAAAACAGTGATCCGCTCAGGATGGTGTCGGGCAAACACCATCTAAAAGGGATGAAAAACCCAGTTACAAGGTCTAGGCTTCTGCCTAAAACAGCTGGAAGGAAAACCTGGAGCTGAGCTCAGAATGGTTCCCCACGGGCACCACAGTGCCAGGTACCACCAGGGGAGTAACAGAACAAGAAAGTGCCATCAGAGATTAAGAAAAAATACAGAATGAGGATGTACTAAATATAAACTCTCTTTTTGTACTACAAGGCTGCCCGAGACTGGTTGGTAGGGCTGCGGATGAAGGGAGGTGGTGTGTTGCAGGTCTCAGCCATGAGTGGCTAACGTGGAGAAACAGGGAGCAGTGCCTTCCTGATAAAGCTAAGAAATGAAGGAATGAAGGATGCTGAGAGATGAGCTATTGGGAGCGCACTGAGCCAGGCACACACACACCTGGAGTGGAAACACGTGGCTTATCTGTACAGATGTCCGTACACACTGCCAGTCCACCCGCTGCCATGAACGCTAATTCAGCAGTAAAACAATGAACTGCTCTTTTTGTCTGGTTCTTTCTTTGCAAGGTATCTAAACCCCAGGAAACTTAGTAAGATTCAAGGGAGTAGACATATAGCAGATATTGGTGGCTATTTTGGAAGATCAGTGAAAAATATCAACAGCATCTCTTTTTCTCTCTGTAACTGTAAAGAAGGCCATGCATCAGGACAACTCTGTGAAGGACCCGAAAGCTGGAAGATGTTTCTAACTACTTTAAAACAAAATGCTAGTAAAAAGTTTTAGCTGTAACTAAGAAAACCTCCAAATTATTAAGAAGTAAATGTCAAAATTGAAAACCCCTGTCATCGCACTGTTACAATGCCTCCAACACACCACACATTATCTGGTAAGTGAGCCCTCAAAAGAAGTCAGCAGTGAAGGAGAAACCAGCAGAAACCAGGTCGCACCACTTGCAGAGACAATAACGAGGCACAGCTAGATCAATCAACATCAGTGCATTACAAAGGACAAAGTGCTGTTAGAAAAATAACTGTCCTTTCAGCTAGTTAGTATTCAATCACTGAGGTGGAAAATTTTCTATCTCAACTTCATTTTAGGAGAAAGAAATGTTTCACTGAGTCACTTCATACTTTTGAGGACAAAATTCAATTTGCCAGCACAAGCACTAATATTTGGGAGAAAGACTGAAAGTCAGCAATTATTTTTTTTTTTTTAAGTAAAATGTAACTTAGAAAAAACCACAAATATACCTGCTTCATCATAGGATACAGTCAATTTTTCCAGCATTTCTCGATCAATTGATAAAATCTGCTGTTCCAGGATGGTTTGGTAAGACAGCACGCTGTTCTCCTTGTCCTTCTCATAGTCTTGAAGATGTTGCTTTAGGACTTCAGGCAGGCGGGACTTCACATATTCTGCTGCCGACTGTGCAGAAAAGAGGCAAAGGTTTAATTAATACATTTTCTTTTGAAAAGCTTTATGCATATCCATAGCAATTTTTTTTTTTTTTAAATTTAAGGCATTCTCAAATGTAACTCCTCACAATGAAACACTTTTAATGCTACATGGTGCAAAATCCACAGGTTATTTCTCTGCCAAAATGACCCCTACCTGCCCCAAACTTCCAGGGAGTCAGGGATATAACGGACCAAATTCCCCTGAGCTGAGGTATAACACACTCTTCAGCAGGGAGTTTATGGCAGTCCAGAAAGAGTAACCCATGCTGGACTAGACATATACACACCACAATAGCTCAACTTTATCGTTAGCATATTTTGAAACTATAACTATGAACTATAATGTCTTTGTCCTAAATGTTAAAAGTACAAAGTGACACAGTGGAATTGCTTCATCTGCTACTGGTACACAGTCAGGCTCAGATAAGGAGATAGAAGTGAACATTTAGCAGCATTAAAAAATTACATATATATATGCACACATCCACACACAGAAAATTCTTTTAAATTTTTTTCTCTGACTGCTCAAGGCCATAAGGAAACAGAAATTAACACAAGGTGGCATGGTTGTACCAATGTTATGGAGCCTTGTGCAAAAATGTAAATGGTAGTAAATACTAAGCTCATTTGCCTCCGGAGAGGTGTTGGTCACCCCAGGACCCCTGCCGCCACTGGAACAGCTCTCTCCCTCAGACCTTGAGCTCGGACACCTTGGTGAGATCCAAACACAAACCAGCTTTCTGGTTTTTAAGCATTAGCATCCCTCTCCTGCAAGTATTACACTCCCCCTATGAGAGGGAATAGAAAGTCCCTCTTTCTGGCATGGCTTTGGATTTTTTATTTGCTTTCCACCTATGATACAAATGTAACAGGAAAAGGAGGATGTAGCAAAGGCTGCTGCCCAGTGCTCCAGCTTTCCTGCCAGCCTCAAGACAAAAGAGAAAAATAAATTATAACAAGGTCGTATTATTTTAGACCTGGAACTGACCAGAAGTTACCTCCACTCAGCAACAGGCTATGCCTGGGTTTATATTTAGTTTTCCAAAGTCAATTGCCGATTATATTGCAACCTTAAAATATCACTGAAGTTGTGTTCAATTTTTCTGCAAGCTAAGCCGCGTGAGATGAATGAAATTATTCTAGGAAAACTAAACAAACTCTCCACATGAGTACAGCATATTTAATGTTACATTTTAAGAGTGATTTTCTTCCAAGGGAAGGCCAAAAGATACACTGTATACTAATTATTTTAGTTCAAGTTCAGGCATTTGTGTTTAATGTTTCCTTTGAGAAGAGGTTTTACTCTGCAGAGGGGTATTTTTGTGCTCTCCCTAACAAAGCAATTCTAAAGAGCAGAAAACAAAATTAGAATTTATATATATTCATTTTCTGAAATATGTCTTGTGCCAGCTGAGTGAGTATTTGTATACTACTGGCTGTAAACACATAAGAAAAAACACCCATCCTGTCCCAAAGATCTTGCAGCCCAAGTAGAAGTCAAGGGGCAGATGGGTGCGAGCAGATGGGAAGCCCATCGGGGCCATCGGCCGTGGTCGGCACGATGGACATCTGTGGCGAGCCACGTGCAGCCCAACCACCACGTTCTTCCACAGATGTCGAGGCCGAGGATTACACCGACTTCCAAGTGTGATCTCACAGGTGGGGATGTCTCCCCCTTGGTGAGATGCAAACCCCAACACTCTTGCTTAGCCCACTGTCTTTCACATTAGGTCTGGGTGTCATTAAAGATTTAAACTGTAAAGCAATGATGGAACCGATACAAACTCCTCTTCTTTTCTAGCAACAAAGGTGACCAGCTCCATCTGAGTAATTACATCCCTAGCTGCACTGCAGCAATGAAACAGATAGTACTATATTCTATTCACTACAAAAGTAATTTTATCTTGGTTTTAAAAAGCCACTTCTGGTACCTGGAATATCAAAAAAGAAAAAGTGTGAGGGTGTGAGTGCATGAGTTTATGCACGTGCTTGGTATTAAAGAAACCAAGAGGCTACTGCATGAACAAAACAGAAAAAAAAAAAAAATTTAAAAAGAACTACTTCCACCATTTTCACACCCTTCCACCTTACCTTAATTCTCATTGCACAGACCACAATATTCAACTTCTGAGTAGATCAGAAACTCCCCCTGCATCCCTTAGGGATTTTGGTGCAGACTGCAGCCCAGAGACCCGTTTGTCAGGATGCTGCTCACGGGCATCCTGCTGGCAGAGCATCCCACCATGCCAGCCAGCCCGCCAGCAGCTCGGCCGTTCCTCCTTCGGCCACCACTGGGCTTCCCCCACTCTCATGAAACCTATTTTCATTAATGTATGTATTTGTGTCACAGACAGAAGTTAGGGGAAAAAACCCATTTCACTACTTTGAGGCTTCAAAGTACCTTTATCCTCTTTTACTCTGTACGGTCCCCCTTATGCCTGCAGGAAGGAATTACAAACCTAGCTGCTGCTGGAAAACGCCTGACCTCAGCCATTAGTTATAGGTACAATTAATTGTACAGCATTTGCTGGTCAGTCTTCCGCACGAGAAAGCAACTGCAGCAGTGAGAAAGGCAAAGAAACACTGGTCCTGCTCACGCAGGAACCCTCCCACAGACCACTGCTTTAAAACAACCACATAACAGAAATGCCCATTGCTGAACTGTTACCTCTTTCGGTTGCAATAACCTCCTATTTTCTGGCAGGAATGTATCAATTTCTTTTATAAAATTGAAACTGCAGCATCCCCCATGAATCTGTGTTCAGTCTGAAGCACCCTTCTCAAAATTAAATGAAGGATTGACTTTAATACCTTAATTGACTTTAGGGTATTTCATCCTACCATGGAAAACCACTATTTCATATATAGAGAATACATTTTAAAATATCTACATACAATTAAATATATTTGTAGAGCTTATTCACAAAAAATCACATTTTTCTCTATTCACTAAAAAAGAAAAACAAAACAAAACAAAACCTACATAAAGATCACATCAGGAAATGCTGAAATCAACTGTGTGGTAACCTGAACCTCAAATGCAGCCAGCATCCTTCTGTAACTACCAAATTTGCCCGTATCTTTTAACTGATGAGAAACATATCCAAAATAAATTTTCTTTTTGTAAATTATGCTAACTGCCTTCTAAAACTTGCTCTGCTTTTCTGAAGTGTATCCTTCTGGGAGCTCCCTTGTATGTGGGGAAGTAAAGGTCTAAAATGGTTAATGAAAGGCTTCTTTATGAAGCTACTTCAAAGTCAAGTGGCGGCTTGACAAAGCAGTCTCCTTACAGAGTTATATTGGGTGATTTCAGACAGGTTTTTAACATGCAGTAGAATATTCGGCGTGTAGAAGACCACCACACCCGTAAGGGACAGCTGCATCCCTGCTCATCCTAATCACGTTCTGCAGGCTGCTACTGCTCAACGCATCCCATAGCTTGGCTTTACCAACCCACTCAACCTTTAAAATTCAGGTTTTAACCAAAGCAAACACGGTGACCTTGTGTATTTCTGGCACTTGAAACACTCAAGCAGGTTTCATTAGATTGTGTTATCATCAGATGAACACTGGGCAGTGGAAAACCCTCTCCAAGTGGTGATGCCCTGGGAATCTGCTTGCTGTTCGCCCCGTGGCGGCGTTCAGTAGGAGGAGCAGGATGGCAAAGCATCGGGGCCAGCTCCTGAATTACGCAGCTCTCCAGGCAAACGCATGCACACGGAGAAGATACACCTCCATGGGCACACGTGTAAACGTGCAAGAAGTGGCCCAAGTACTCTATGACAAAATGCATTCATTAAGACGGCAAGTGTTAAGCAGCACCAAGACCCTGTGAAAAACAAGGTCTGCAAGAGCTATGGCGAGATCAGCACACTGGCACATCAAGCAACTGAAGGATCTAATTAGCTGGAACGGCCATTATTTATAAACACAGATTTCCAATTTAAAAAATGGAAGATGGAGACTTTATTGCCTCAGACCTGCACTCCACACTGACTCCCATGATTTACAGGGAGAGGAGGGAAACCACAAATTTATGATCTTAATTCTACCTGCCTTGCTACTGCAAATATCCAGAGACTGTGGGAAAATACAGGATCCATTTTGGAGTGTGGTATTGCTGGCGTAGCACATACACCACTGAAGGATACAAAAAACCATCAAGATTCCTGTATTGCATCTTGCTGCCTCGCCTTTTCACACATTTCCCTCCCCTTCAAAGACATGTGGGTCACTACAACAAGTTTCCTTCTTCAGAGATGATACACCATGAACTGCTGGGCAAGAACAGAGTTCACCTTATGAACAAGAGGAATTTCAACTTTGTTCACCTCCTGGTTTACTTCAGGGAAATAATTTTTTAAGTAGGATCAAGTGAGTTCGACAAATAAAAGCCTGAGGTGGGTACAAAAAATGAACATGGGTGTAAACCTTGTGTTTGGCCATGTGTTGGCCATGATAATCTCATCAGTAGGAAACATAATGAAGTGTAAAGAGGGATTGATCTGTGGACCCTATTAGACATCTCTAGAAGAATCGTGGAGAAGACACAAAAGGAGCTGGAAGGAAATTAGTACAGTATCAAAACAGTAATACAGTTGGGCAATAAGAGAGGCTTGGTAAATAATTCACAGGACTAGATCATTAATACAGATGATATAACTTACTGAGAAAGGAGGTTATGGAAATAAAAAATTGACCTGTACATCAAGAGAGTATTTGCTTTTCTAGGACCAGCCTGTAAAAGGGAGATAGATGTGACAAAAGTCATCATGTAAAAAAGAGAAGCAGAGCCACTACCATAGCGCAGGCCCACCAGACATCAAATGAAAAATGAAGTAGAGAGGTTGGGGTTTTTTAACCAGGCACTGGAGTAATCAACCAAAGCACAAGATGTAACAAAGTACTGCAACTGCTGAGATACGTTATAGGAAATATATTTCAGAGCACAGGTTGTCCAGCAACCTT